GCAGACGATGTTAACCGCGCCAACCCTCCGACGCCGTTAAAAGGGAGGAGTCTCGCCACACATGAAAGGAGGAAACTTGAGGACACATACCACCACCGTCGCCCTTCGAAACAAACCTCGCGCCTCCAGAACATTTGCCTTCGCTCGCTGCAGGGCGTCTACTAGTTCTACAAATGCAGCGTACCCCTAGAGGTATTTCGTCTCCCCTCTCTGAAAGGCGAAGTCGAGCACGTTCGTTAAGATTTATATTTCCGAAAGCAGTAGAAACGCTAAGACAGCTATTACATAGCGAACGACGCTGGAGTTCGTCGTCCTGACACCTGGCACCACTACAAAGGAGCAGACGGTGTTTTTGTTCGCTCTAATAATGGATAGAGCTCAAGGCAGCTAACATTGAGGTCTAGCCACTATCCTTCTACTCAGAGCCAATCAGAGCTCAGCGTTCTGACGTCACCTCAACCCCTGCACAGGGAGCAGACGAACTTGCACTCCGAATAGGAGAAACCAATGACTTTCTCGTCGAAAGCCGCGCACGACTTCTGGGTACATTAACAAGTCTGCCATAACTTTGCACAAAAATAAAACGTATCTTAAAATTTATGACTTTGTCGGCTATTAGGAAGGGCTCTTACATATGTTTATTAACTGGGTTCGCAATGGCAGCCTGCCTGACACTGCGAAAGCTTGAATTCATGCGCAAACTTTCTCTGAGCTATAAACATGATGTCGTCATAATGGAGGCTTTTTGCCATATTCAATCTGAAAATGAGGCGCATCTGTATTCAACTCTGTTTTCAGAATATTGGGAGAATGTATTCCTACATTTAGTGTGTTGTGTGCAACGTCGAAAAGGAAGACAGCCGTTCGAATTTGGTAACTGAGTTTTCGGCACAAAAGATATCTTCATACACTTCACTAGAATAACAAAATTCGATTTATTGTGCGTTCAATGTTTTTATTGAACCCTCTGTGTGAAGGGTTTGGACTGAACTTGCAGTCAGATATTATATGTTTACCTACTACTCCTTCTTCGCTGCGCACAGTCTCCCTCGAGATAAAATATTTGTACGGGTATCCTCTCATCACACGGAGCCTCAATTAACGATAGTAGGCACACTAAATGACGCTGATTTTGCCTATCTCCTATTTTGCATTCTATATTGTTTGGGGGTCAATTACTGAGTTTCCTTTCTTTTTGGGAAAGCTTTAAAGTTTTAGCTCCAATATGCAGCAATTCATCTATCTTACGTTAATCCGCGGCGCTGAACTCTCAAGCATACTTCTAGTTGGGATCGGGACAGAAAAGTCCGTTAGAGGCAGACTCATCGCTTTGCTCTAATCGGGTAAAAAAGAGGCATTTTCGTAGAAACGCGGTTGATTTGTGAAGGTTGATTTTGCAACAAAAAGGTGTAAATTTGACAAGTTCAGTTTTAACCAAGGATTATATTTTTTTTATATTTAAAATGTAATTGTTTAAATATGCATTTATACTGTACATTTATACACTTATAATGTATAAATATACATTTATACATTACATAGCAAACAAATGTTTGCTATGTAATAAATATGCATGTTACTTATATGTAAATTACTACTTCGTAAAGACGCCGAGTTCCTATTTATAAATTTCAAGAGTTATTGATCTATTATATTGTTTTCCTTTGCAAAGGGAGCCCTCGAAAACCTGCGCATGAAATCTAATTCTTCTTAATTAAATTATGCATTGAAGGTAAAGCGCGTTTAAACTTGCCCTCGAATATAAATGGCTTTGCGTGTCAACACTGGGGCAAATATGCTTTGGATCTTGATATTAATAAGAAATCTTATCTGTGCTTTAAAGTTTCGCAACCAAACTTTAGAAATAAATTAGTACTTTTAATTATGAGTCATCTGAGAGAAATATTAAGATCTAGTGCAACGGCGCTTTCGAGGAGGAAAGTCTGAGGCCACAAAGCAATAAAAAAATCGTCCTCGACGGCGGTACACGCTTATCCAGGAATGTCGCCGCACGAACGGAGCTCAAAGAAGGACCAGACCAGATGTTCTAGATACCAGAAAGTATAAAAGAGAGAGAACACAAAACACAGACGAGTACATTCTCTGTTTTATACTTTCTGGTATCTAGTACATCTTACAAACACGCTGGTTAGGAATATAAGACCAGATGCCAGTCAATAATACAATGCATGCGCACGCTACTCGCTCCTGATCTGACAACGCTCGGCCAGCTTGCCAATGCGGACACCTACCTCCGAGAGGGCAGGAAACGAGGGTTTGAGAGAGTATGAAAACCAGATACTGTTTCCTCGTTAGCTTTTTACATCCAGCATTTCATTTCTGTTCAGAACCTCAGAGCTGCGAGTTGTCTGAACTATAGAACTACTTTACCTTCTTTTTTTTTCTACCTTGTGAGAAATATTTGCTGCGATACTTATCTGGTCAAAGACAAGTAAGAAATAGGGGCGTATGGAATTAAAGAAAGTACGAATATCAGTGCGTTTTATTATAATATATATTAACGGGAACAGATGAAATTATTTTACATTATAAAACGCCATGCGGTTTAAGCGTAACTTATATCACGATTTGCAATCTTGTTAATATTGTGAAGAGGATCAGCCCAAGCAGGCTGACACAGGGAAAGACGTTTAACTCTGACCGTCGCCGTCCAGTCGCAAGTGCAAAGGAGCAAGCGCTTCGGTTCGCTCGACCGGAGCGATGAGGGATATCAGTTTCTTGATCCAGATGTTTGAGGATCACAATGAAGTTCATTGCATCTTCACTATATACTTTTTTTTTTTCAACCTGGTTTTTACGTTCTTTTTGCTTCCCAACTACTTTCCAAAGTATAGTCCGCGGACTACGCATGTTTAAAAGTTGAAATTTTTTTCCGATGCGGATATGTATAGGTGCAAACTGTACAAGAATTTGTTTTTTTTTTGTTTTTTTTTAGACCATTCATTGTGAGGAGGCCTGGAGGATTTTATGAATAACGGAGTACGTTTTGTTTGACTTATGTATGGCACAAGCTTCTTTGTGAGCTAATACAGCAGACATTCTTGAGGGTGTACTGTGGATGAGACTCTCTGCGTTTGGACTAGGCACTAAGTACGGACTACGCACTGCCAGCTGACTATGCACCGGGTGCGGACTGTCGAAGAAAAACGTTTATTTTTGACACAAAATTTGCCTTTCCGGAATATTATCCTGGCGCGGACAACAGTCTGAAAAATACGGTACGCCTGAAACGTAAATAGACACTACAAAAACTGGATGATTTTGCACCACAACTATATGTGCGGGAGGGAGCGCTTCGTAACGTACGAATTATTGGGAAAGGTGCATACAAAAAAAGAAAGCCCCGTCAAGTGGTCCGGACTCCGGAGCATATAACCTGCTCTCCAAGCGCTTTCGTGTTGAAAACACCAGCGTACGACCCGTAGATTATGTGGACGGTCTACGCTGCACATGTGGATATTGGAATGAGAAGTAATTGCGGCCATCCTAATACGTGGAAACTCCAAGCACGTTAGTGTGGTTTGCTCTGAACACTAGTGATGTTGAGAATTGTAAGCGGCGGTCATCAGCAAATTGTTGTTTCTAATAAACATGATGAGGTTTCGACTCTTGATCGCGCTATCTTGCCATGTCGAGCACCGTCGATTCCCCACACGTTCCGGTTTTGCCGCAGGAGCAACGTCACTGCCAAACCTCACGAGTAGAATTGCATCATGTGAATCAGACTTCGGCAACCTTTCCGCGGTCTACGCGTAAATGCTTCTCCCTTCGTCAGAACATTCTCCAGAAATGTGGCGGTGCAAGCAGCCCTAATTTTCCGCCGAGGCTTATGGTTTATTAAGACATTTTAGAGTAATCTAGGATCAAGAACTGAATCGCAAAATAAAAAAAACGTGACTCAAGTAGACGCCAACGACATGTTATTATAATGGTTTCTTAATGGGGGCGCGCCTCTTGCCTACAAACTATGTCGCAAGCACGACACCGCAGCAATAGCCATGGGGCGTAGAGGTTCGTTGGTCAACACGACTCGGGGTATAGACGGTTATCGCGCTTGAAGAAGTTTCATTGTCATATTTGGCATGTATGTTTGTCTCGTCAAGGTTGCCAGTAGCTGACATGGGTAAAATCAAATCTATCTATTTTTGCCCGAGTTCACAACAGTCGCCACCTATCTGCATATAGTAAATTAGCGCATCTGGCCCTAAACTGAATTGGAGGTTTTGCTTTTTGAGAGATTAAATCGCGAAACTATTTTTAAGAAACGGTAGCTTGTAACAATGTGCGAATTATTTGACACGTGGGGTGAGACGTTTAAATGTAAAAGTAAAATGTAGGAAGTATACGCTGGTCACCAGTAGAAGTGATACTAAATATGCGGTGCCAATGAGTTCGGTGTCAAACGAAACAAGGATGATACAAAGCCTGCCTTGTGAACACTGGGGTGAAAAGAAAGTCAGTCGGATGCAGTGTGACCAAAAGAGTGTAGCGAAGCAATTAAATTGATAAGAGAGAAAAACAACAAGGACATTTATGGCTGCGCCAATGTGCAGCTGCAAACACAAACCCTAGAATGCTGAGAGAGCTGTTATTTTAAAGATAAAATATAACCTTTACAAGGCACTTAATATTTTTTAGCATAAATTATTTAATGACTACCTGCCCGCTTTTCCACTCTCTAAGATAGTCGCCACACCGCTGGTTTGTACTTTTGGAGCTCCTCGCGCTTCATTATTTTCAGGCGTGTTTATATCATCGTCCTTGCAGTCAAGGACACCGAAAACTACACCCAAAGCCACAAGTCACGCCTGTTTTCTTCTGCCTTTCAAGGACGTGCGAGACTCGGAAATAATTTAAAAGCGTGGGCGGCCAGCTAACGTTCATTTTATGGCCTGAGAGAAGCTGCGTCAAGACCCTGTGCGAGGTTCGAAAAACCCGAATGTCTTGAAAAGATACACCAGCCTGAATAGTGCACCGAGATGGCGTCGACACCAGCACCTAGACTGCTCGCCAAACTGAGTGAGAAATACGTCTACCTGGCATCTTTACGGGACCCAAGGGTTACCGGCTGGAGCCTCACAGCGGATTTCAGGTTCATATTGCCAGTGTGTCTCGGATACCTCTACGTGGTCATGATAGCAGGTCCGAGATGGATGACGAACCGCAAACCCTACAATTTGAAGAGGGTGATTATGACCTACAATCTTTTTCAGGTAATAGCGAACGTTTTCTTCTTTGTACAGTACATGCGTCTCACATATCTTGGTGGAAACTACAGCCTTTTCTGCCAAGGCATTGACTACTCTCCTAATGCAAACGAGATGCGAATTTTGCGAATCTCCTGGTGGTATCTTTTTGTGCGGATCGCCGACTTGATGGACACCATCTTCTTCGTCGCAACAAAGAAGTTTTCACATATCACGTACTTGCACGTCGTTCACCACTTCCTGGTTGTGCTCAACGGCTGGCTGTACCTTAACTTCGGAGGTGGTGGTCAGCTTGTCATGGTATTGTGCTTCAACACTCTCGTCCACGTCGTGATGTACGGCTACTACTTCCTCTCGTCACTTGGACCTAGAATTCAGAGGTACCTGTGGTGGAAGAGGTACCTCACCCGGCTGCAGATATTCCAGATTGCCTTTCTCACCGTGCATGCGTGCATTCCTCTCGTGTACGATTGCGGGTACCCGAAAGCACTCATACTGGTTGCACTTCCACAATCATTCCTGGTTCTTGGACTCTTCGTTAATTTCTACATTCAGTCTTACACCAGATTGGAGAAACGTGACTCTCGCATTTCTCATGCGCACAAACAAGACTAAAGGGCAACATAATTTAGCCTATCGCCTGTGTTTATGTGACAGCTAATTTCTTTTTAATTCACTTAAATTACGTTTTATAAAGAGAAACGATAGCAACTCAAGAAATTATGTTATTCTTGGGTGTGTTAAGCGGAGTCAAGTAATATCCTTCTGTGAGTGTCAAATAAAACAGCAAGGATAGTATACGAAGGTCGGGGAGGGGATGTCTAACGACGTGGGCTGCCGCCTAGTTTCCGCGAGTCCTCCCCTATCTTCAGATTCCCCGACGCGGGTGTGAAGTGTTTCTCGGCACCTCGCTTGGCAGTTTTCTTCCCCTCACCTCGCCCTCCTGGGCTCGTTGGGGGAACCCGTGTTGCCCCGGTTTTTTAACTGCCCTTCCCGAGACTCGGGTTACTCCCGAGGCCATGGGCAGAAGACGGCCGCGTCTGTTCGCGTCTGTGGCGGCCACAGCCGTTCCTATTGCGAGTCACGCTTTCCTGGCTTCTGGCTCAGACAGGGCACAAAACATACCAAGAGGCCTTTGAACCTAGCAAAGTTGTTTCAGGGGAAACGGCGGGAAATAGCTTGGGTTTGGAGGGCCGACTCATTTCTGTGCCAGAGGGTAGACCCGCGGGGCAATGGCCGTCGCGAAGGGGGAATTTCTGCGCTTGGTGTGCGAACTTGGGTTTGAGTGCGAAGAGCAAAGGGCAGTGCGAGAAGAGACTCGGAGGCGAACGGATGTATCGCGTCGTCGAGCGGGAGCGACGAGACCACTGTCGACGGCCCCACGCCAACTACGGGACAGAGTTCCATCGAGTGTGTGCGTGCAACCTCAAGAAGTGGTTGCGAGGCCAAGGGGCCCCGCCCATAGTGAGCCAGCCAACCACCGGAACTTCTCCACCTTGGGCGGACCGCGCAGGGAGACGTTGTCAACCATTGACTGTCCAGATGAGATTTTTTGCACTCGCTGTTACTTTTTGAGTTAGCATCTTCTGACTCGGTTAATTGCGGTAAATACATCAGTGATTGTAAAAGCATCCCTGAACCTAGATTCGTAAACCATGTTTTTGTAAGAATAATATTCAGTACTACAAAAGTGATATGTGCATGGCGTATTCAGTGTAACTAACATTCCGACTACCACGAAATTAAATTTTTTTTGTGTTTTTGTCCTACTTTTTTGTCTCTGTTCATCGGTCAAACTCTCTTCCTGACCGTGGACCTATCGCTCGGTCAGTGGTCAACCTTTTTTACAACGTCACGCCCAAACAACTCTCTCTCTCGATTTTTGTTGTTGTTGCAGTGAGCCTATGCCTGGCCTGGCACTTGTAGTGTGAATCGTTAAAACTTCTCAAGAATTCGTCATACTGCTCATGATTAATGAAATCAGAACCACATATAATTGACAAAAAGTTTGTCAACAGAACGTTTTTAAAAACTCATCAAGCAACATTGGCGGTCGCCATTTCTAGGGCTTGAAGCGTGTGACTGTATCCGAGTCCATGGCGAACGCAGTCACGGCGCTCGTATTTGGTACAACCTGAGCCGAGTTCAAGCCGAGCGCTGATGTAGCTCTCGTGTCCAATCGGTGGATGGAGTACCTGCTCAAACACTGGCGGACTCGAATAGTTGGCGCAACAACTACTAGGTGGCGCTCACTTTTGTCGAGGGTTTATTGACAAGAGTAAGTTTCTATTGAAACTTATAAGATAACGTGACAAATAGCGTCAGAAAGAGATTGGCGCATGTTCGCCCCCACATGAAATCCCTCGATACTTTCCGAGAGATGAGGCGGCGTTACTATACTACCTGAGGTCAAACTGAGAACTTAGCGGATACATTCTTTACAAGCTTCAACCTGCCAACAATCAACAAACACTGCGAGAGGCCAGATAATGTTCTACAGGGTGAATCAAAGGGATTAGATTGATGGCTGTTTCATGGAATGGCATAAATCGGGTTTTGAGCGTATCGAGCTAAGATTGTTACAGAGGTGGCCGAAAGACGGACATTAAAGGCCGGTTCGCACATACAGTGGAGAGCTCAGTTAGCGCCCCATGAGCGCTGGAAACAGCGCTCATGTGGCACCGACTTGCGCGTGACATAGCGCTCAGTTAACGCTTTAGAAGCGCTTCAGTAGGCGCGTGGTTAGCGCTTCAGCAGCGCAGTGTAAGCGCTCTCACGCTGCTTCTGCCGTGCTTGCTGCTGCGGAACAGGGCGTGCACGGCGATTCCGTTGTTGTTGTTTTTCCTTTAGCATTGAAAAAAGAGGAAGGAAAAGAGCCGCTCTCCAAGCAAAGGGTCGGGCAGACGATCCAGGGTCATGGGCTCTGAGCGACTATTTGATTGGGTACGACCTCATCGCATAGCATTCGATATGCGTGACCCTGGTTTCAAAGACACACACTTAAAACAAATTACATTCGAAAAAGCTCTGTGTCTTGGTCCCTGAGCCTGGGAACGAGGTTCGCCGGATACCCGTCGGTATCTCGGTGGCGAAACGTTCGCGCACTCAGAAGGCTCTTCTGGGCGGTAAGTCGTGCACACAGATATGCGCCAATTTCGTCTGTAAGCGCATTCGTCGCGTTTATATTTCAGCGTCCCACATGTCCGCCATGGTGTTGTTGATGCACACCCAACCACAGAAACCGGAACCGCAGTGCACGCGCTAATCCGCAGCAATTACTGCCGTACAAGCAGCGCTAACAAGGCGCTACTAAAGCGCTCATCGCGCGCTAAATTAGAACTAAGTCACGCGCTAGGAAGCGCCACATGAGCGCTCTTTGGAGCGCTCACGTAGCGCTAACTTAGCGCTCCGCTGTGTGTGTCCCTGAGCAAAATATCCTCGAGCAAGCTTATCTGCGTATATAGGCAGAACTAGAAAAAAGAAACTTGTTATCCATGCCTAGTGCGGCTGGGAGCTAACTAAATGCGTGTGATTGGCGCAACAGTTGATAGATGCCTTGAGTGGTCTCCGCGTCGTCAAATGGGGATAGCCAGTGGAGGCACCGTGAGTAGCGCTTTTTTCAGCGTCAGCTCTGATGATGACACAGTTGTTGTCGGTGGCTCGTTTTGAAGGTTCCCCTCCTCGTTGAGTACAAGCGTAAAATTGTAGGGGAGCCCGGAGGTCGCCGCCAGAACTCCACCCCAAAATGTCGGTGAAGCCATTTCGTCTTCTGGCGAGAAAAAAAACCTTCACTCGCTCGTTGGAAGCTAGGCGCACCATGCAGTTACTTGTACCCCAAAACAGCATGGATGAAAGGCGAAGAAAAGAGACCCGGTTGCAAATAACCAGAGAGTGCATTGCAGACGGTAATATGTAATCAAAAATAAATACCGAAAGAACAAAAAAAAGGGGACAACGCATGTGTTTCGTCGTTCTTGATTAATCTATTTTTTTTAGTTTATTAGTCGAATAAAATGATTACGTACTAACAATTCACGCAGGAAAACTGCGCATCACTTCTGACACAGAAGCACGTCTGCTACTACCGAGGTCGAGGACGGTCATAAAAAGAAGAAACACGCCTCAGACTGTGACCGCGGCCTAGGAGCACGCCATAGAAACATCTCGCCGTCAATATCCCCCGAATCCGAAGAGAAGGCAGGTGCCTTACACTTCCCCCCCCTCCCCCCCCCCCCTTCCCCTTCACCCACTGCCGGAAGCTCATGTGCTGTTTTACCGGGTGCAACCTCGGCAGGGCTCAAGCGTACTGCCTGTGATCTTACATGCCCCCTTCTGTTGGCAGTTACGACAATAAGACGCCTTTCATCAGGTTTTTCGTTTAAAACTTTTTACTCGTGTAAGTCAGTTCAGTGGAATTATTATAGCCTTAATACACGTTCTTCGGCCACCCCTCTAAAATTATTATCAATACGTTCCCGAGAAGATTTATACGGTTCTTTCAAACAGCCATCGATCACGTTGCCTCAAGCTGTACAATGCTTCTTTTCTGGGAAGTCTGCCATTGGTATGCTGTTAGTGATCGGCCCTACACTCTAAGAAAACAGGGAGCGCGACTTAGTCTCTCGGGGGACCAAATGTGCTGCCACCACCATTAGTACCCTAAGGGGAGCAACTGTTGCGCCCCGTCAGTTAGTCCCTCGCACTAGCACCGTTGGACTAACTGTTACACCGTTTCAGTTACACCTCGAGGACTAGCTGTTAGGCCCTTACACTTGGTCCTTTGGGACCAACTGTTACACCATTTCAATTGAACCTCGAAGACGAACTGTTGACCCTTGCGCTTGGACCCCTGGGACTAACAGTTACACCGTTTCAAATGAACCCCGAGGACTAACTGTTAGGCCCTTGCACTTGGACCCCTGGGTCTAAACGTTGCGCCCTTGGATTTAGGCTTCTGGGACTAAAGGTTTATCCTTTACATTTGGTCCCGAGCCACAAATCTCCGAAACGAAACTGTCGAGTTCAGGTTAAACGTAGCTTTATTGCCTGGTAGATACACATCGCATTCAAGGATGACTGAAGTCGAAGTACCTGGGCGGTTGAATCCACGATAAGGCCAAATTCTGAAGAGTGCACTTGCGTCGACGATGGCTTGGACACTGGGACGTCTGTCCAAGCCGGCCGTGGTCCCAGCACCGTTTATTGGGGCACCGGCAGCTTCTTGCCTGTTTGCGAGGAATTCGGATTATTAGTAACAGGGCAGCGTAAATACCCAATCGCTTGACAAATATATGAGATATATGTTATAACACACGCATAATAAAATAACAAATAGGCTGCATAAGTGCTACAATGGTTCACATCCAACATGCGATCTGTTGTCAGCAGACCAGCACAATATTAGATTTTTAGTAGACCGTTCGCTGCGAATTACAGACCCAGCGCGCGCATGCGTGCTCAAACTATTCTTCAAAGTGACGGCACGATCTCCCGTCATCAACGCGAACGTCTAGTGTACAATCGAATAAATGTCTCAATTAATGCCGGTTCTCACACGCAGCGAAGCGCTGATGTAGCGCTGCTCACGTGTCATGAGCTACTTTTCGTCTGCCATG